TATCACAAATAAATTGGACCAAGTTAAGTTTATGATTTCTGAATCCATAAGGCATAGGAAGAAAAGCAACATTATATTTTGTTTCTCTGAAACTCATTTAAATTCTAACTGGTCTGATGACGAATTGCAAATTAGAGAGTTCAACTTCATTAGGAAGGACCGAACTTATGCCTCAGGTGGAGGTATTCTGATTTATATCCCAGAAACAATTCATTTTCAATATCGCAATGATTTCTCGTTACAAGAAAATAATTATCCGCTTGAATTTATTTGCTTGGAATTTAAGCATCCTAATTCAAAACCCTTCCTGATGGCCATTATGTATCAACCGGGAAATAATACTCTCTGGAGAGATAACTTAAACTATGTATTAGACATGGCTGACAATGAACACAAAGAGATAATTGTGTTAGGGGACTTAAACACAAATTTTCAAGATAAACATTCTTATCAACAACTTCATGTTCTAACATCTCAGTATCAGCTTAAACAACTTATTGATGCAGTTACCAGGCCAATATCACGTAAAACAATTGACCTTATCTTTACCTCTAAGGAAGATAATGTTATTAAATCAGGCGTGCTAGATGTTGGGATGAGTGACCATTTGCCAATTTTTATCTCTAGAAAAATTAATTCCAGGATCTCAATTAAACAAGGTTTACATACAACGATTAGTTATCGCAGGAAGAAAGATTTTATTGCGAGTGATTTTGACAATGACCTTGTTGAAGAAATCCCGTTAAGCCTTTATGAAATCTTTGATGATCCAAACGATCTATTAGACTGTTGGTACTCTCACTTTATGAAAATTTTGGATAGGCATGCACCTTTAATAAAACGTAGAGTCAGAAATAATAAACTGCCGGGGTGGTTTAATTCTGAAGTACGTTGCTTTAGCCGCAAAAGAGACTTTTTCTTAAAGCAATTTCTAAAAGCCAAAAACTCTGACACATGGTGTACCTACAAAAAATGGAGAAATAGAACTGTTCATATTATTAAAAAGTCAAAAGAGGACTACTATAAGAACCTCCTGACTGATAATGTACATAATCCACGACAATTATGGAAAATTCTAAAAGATATCTTGCCGACCAATGACACTGTCCCCCAAATAACACTTAACATTAATGGCAAGGAGATCAGTGATCCTATCGAGGTTGGCGATCTCTTTAATGAATACTTCTCCTCTATTGCAGACAACTTTGATATCAGTTTACTCATAAACAACCCAATTAATACTCATTTACCAATTGCAACAAATCATATTAAGTTTACAATTCCACTGATAACAATCGATGACATACTAAATCTTGCAGCCGAATTAGACCAGAACAAGTCAACCGGTCTTGATGGTATTCCTGCCTACTTCATCAAGTCCTCGATTCATTCCATTGCACCCATAATACTTCGTGTAATATGAGCATTGAAAATGGCGTCTTTCCCAACATGTGGAAGAAAGCTAGACTGATTCCAATCTATAAAGCTGAATCACGTACTGAGAGAAACAATTACAGGCCCATTTCTATATTAGCGATTCTATCTAAACTCCTCGAACGACATGTTGCCAACTCATATGTAAAATTCCTCACAGAAAATGATATTCTATCAAGTTGCCAGCATGCTTTTCGAGCCCATCACTCTTGTGAATCTACTCTAATATTGAGCTGTGAACACCTTCTCGATAACATTGAGCAAGGTTTAGTTAATGGTATAGCTCTAATTGACCTCTCCAAAGCGTTTGACCTGGTCGATCATAGATTGCTACTGCAGAAATTAGAACAATATGGCATTACTCCAATTGCTTTAAAATGGTTTAAATCGTATCTAAATGATCGTTACCAAGTAGTACAAATTGCATCATCCCTATCCAACCCAGCTCTGATAAAGTCTGGTGTGCCTCAAGGATCTATACTGGGACCAATTCTCTTTCTTATCTTTATTAACGATTTACCCAGTTACGTTGGAAGTTCTAAGCCTTTTTTATTTGCCGATGACTCTACACTAATATCCTCCGGATCGGACCTCATTCACGAATTTAGTGTCTCTCTAAAGTCAGATATGACCTCAGTGTCCCGTTGGACTAACCATAACAAAATGTCTCTTAATCATGGCAAGACAAAAATAATGAAAATATATTCCCAATCCAAATTTCCTGATCTTAGTCCAATAACCATTGAAGTCAATAACAATAATGTTAAGGAGATTACATCCGCCATTTTACTTGGAGTTACATTAGACCAACATCTGAAATGGGATAGGCAAATTAATACCATCTACAATATAATCAATTCTAGACTTTACCTGCTCAAACGTATACGTAGCTATCTCACTTTTCAATCCCGTATTCAATTATATTACGCACTAATCTACCCACACTTGCTATATTGTAGCACAGTCTGGGGCAATGCTAATAACGATCTAATTACGTGCCTACTAAAACTACAGAAACGTGCAGCGAGACTAATTCTTGAGCAGTCAACTGAAGTGCCTTCAATTGTGCTTTTCCGTAAACTCAACTGGATACCTATTTTTAATTTGATCAAAATGAGAAAAATATTATTGGTATTCAATACTTTAAAAACATCTTGGCCGCCGGATCTTCGTAAATTGTTTGTCTTTGTTCGCGACTCTCATCCAATTCCAACTAGATCGTCTATTACAGACTTAAAAGTTCCATCAGTTAAGACTACGCAAGCAAAATCCAAAATTTCCTTCAGTGGTGCAAGTTTATTTAATTCTTTACCTTCCGAATTAAAAGATATTGAAAATCACTCAATTTATTCCTATAAAAAGAAGCTCAAAACCTACTTTATTCAATTGAATTATGAAGTAGATCACGTTAATAAATTCCGCTGCATCGATTGTAAGCATATTACTCATTGTCAATGTTACTCTCAATAGGATTTTCTTTTTATATATTACTATTAGATATCGAGGGCCATTGGGAAGAATACTATATTAAGTAATCAATGTAATCCCTCATTAAATAAAGTTTTATTATTATTATTATTATTATTATAGTATGAGAAATGTAATTGCGAAAACGAACAATAGCCAGGATATAAATCTATGCATGTATGTTTATAGGAATAATGTATTTTGAAGAAAGACACATCATGGCGAGCTTCCGCCACCTATATACTACGCCTGGTCAGTTGCTGCCATAGACATCTTATATACACTAGATAACGCATCTCTTTTAGTAAAACTGAAGCCAAGAATATTCCAGCGGTTACCCCCATTTGAATAGATGGCGGCCATGTTGGTCGTTCCCACTCGCTAATAAACACTTAAAAACAACAATAACTTTCATCATTTGAATACTTTAAAAATGTATTTGGAATAGGGTTAACTTAATATTTAAGTTCCCTGTTTAAGAAATAGGAAATATACGAGTCTTCTCGCATTTCATGGGAACGACCTGAGACTGCAATCACGGCTTCAATTTTTGAATTGCAGAATAATTAGATGCACTATCTAGTGTATATAAGATATCTATGGTTGCTGCATTCAGAACGGGTAGTTTTTACCTCTGAGATCATTGGTTCGATGTCAGTCCTCGCTTTGGTAGTGCAGTACTTACGTTGCCTCCCACAGGAAAAAGGGTGGTTTTTTAAAAAGCCTGTTCTAACCAATCCAACATGTTGATCTGAGATCTGTAAGGCTTGCGCCTAGATATGACATTACTATATACATGTACAAATAATGAATGTTTATGAGTGCAATGGTAGGAATATTTTCATTCGGTGAAAGATGGAATGTTTCATCTTTCACCGAATAGGAATATTCTTACTATTGCACGAATAAAAACATTCGTCATTTGTTTTATATAATACCAAAATAGACTAATATTAAAAGGTTTATTGTAAGCTCCCACCATTTTGACGAGTCATATTTGCGTTAAATCCCATTTACTGAGTTTCGAATATCGGGTTAAAATAAACTGCGATCACCGTACGAGAAGCATTTTGACGGATGCGATTTATCGAAAACACAAAGAGTGCAATGGAATAAAACGTATAGTACAATTGCACTTGCAAGAGTGCAATGGAACGTATTCCATTGCACTCTTGGGAAATGGAATTTTCTATTCAATATCACGTGACCATAAACAGCCAATTAAACGATCAGAATTCAATAAGGTACTATATAAACATGTATATCTACTGAAATTCTACTTTCTCGTGTTTCATGGTTTACCTATTTTATAGAATATATCTTAATATTACAACTTAATTAAAACATTAAAAATTAAAACGTATCCATGTAAATAGTCCATTATAAAAGTATCTAAAAAATTTCCGCTGCATTAACATTTACATTAAAATCATCTTCGAAGTCATTAGCGGTCTTCAGAAGGGCCTTATATATAGATCCCCTGACACAAATGTTCACCGATTTTTGTTCACCGATGATCTTGGTTTACCTTGCATGCTGTTAAGTTGGCCTTCAGGATATCTCTATAGCAGTGATCTATAGCTTCGTTTTTGAAACCACTGCTGAGCTCTATTAACGTATAACCTATTGTAGGTTTTTCTCAATCAAGTAAAGAAGGAAAAAGGTGCATTTCTCATTGTCTCACCGAACTCTGTCCTTTACAATTGGTATGACGAGCTGATGACCTGGGGATATTTCAAAATTGGTAAATTTCACAAAAACAAAAGAGATGAAACCTTTCAAAAAGCTGCAGCAGGAAAACTGGACATTGTTTTGACTACTTATGAAACTCTACGAAACCATTGGGTAAGGAGAAATTGTGTATGACTTCTATAGTGTTAAGGCATGTTATATATATATATATATATATATATATATATATATATATATATATATATATATATATATATATATATATATATATATATATATATATATATATATATATATATATATATCAGTTATAGACCTGAAACGAGGGGTATTCCACAAAAAATTACCCTGAGGGATGAAATATTCCGAGGGCGAAGCCCGAGGAATATTTCATCCCGCAGGGTAATTGTTTGTGGAATACCCCGAGTGAAAGGTCTATAAATGGTATATTATACCGAACCTTTCAAAAATAAGTAGAAAACAAATACCATTCAATTAACTTTTAATTTCAAAACACAACTTTTGATAACTTTACATTTAAAAAGTCGAATTTCCCGCTCAAGCGTGGTATTCGAAGTCGAATACCATGGCCCCGGGTAAAACACCCAGGGTTCAAATTGCCTAGGTCATAGTATTCGCTGAAAAATACCATGGTCATGTGGTACAAATTTAGTTCTCTGATTGGACCAGCTCATTGTGAGGTATAATATATATATATATATATATATATATATATATATATATATATATATATATATATATATATATATATATATATATATATATATATATATATATATAATTTAATTTCTTAACTTAAAATATAGTCACAACTCTGAGTTTCACGCTCAATGCGATCTTCAGGCGACAATGTTTAAATCTCAATAAAAATTCCTGTATGATTACGTGAGAGTTCGTTAGGCTACTTGCGTGATGGTATTGCGTGCGCACGTTCAAATTTTCCCGCCAAGAATTGTTTCCGGTGGCAACACTTCGAGAATAGTTCACATCTCCTGTTCAGTAATCTTTTCTTATCACCTTTCAAAATTTCGAGTTTCTCTTGGAGGCATAGGTTGCAACTTTTTGCGCCGCTGCGATAAGATGATGCTTGCTTCAGAATGGACCACTTGATGTTGAATGTGCGTTTCTTGTTTTTCAAGTTCCAAATGTGTTTGGACAGCTCAGTGGATTTTACATAGCTCGTATCTTTGAATGATGTCTTGTGGTTGTAATAACGTTTCTTGAACGTGTTTGATGTCATCCCAATATAATCTCGAATTACTCCTGTGTCGTCCGTAACCTCGGCTTTATAAACAACGCTCTTTGTAAGGCAATTATTGTTTAAGGGACATTCAGTACTTTCAATGCAGTTACAGTTGTCTTTGGTAGATGCTACAACAACAGTTTTATTCTTTAAAAGTGTACCGAGGTTATGTTTGGAGATGACGCTTTTACAGTTATCCATGCAACTGTAGCTTACTTTGACCGAGTTTCTGTTAAAGATCTTGTGTAGTGGGTTAGACGCAGGGAAATACGCAGGGAAATGTTTGTCAATCAGGTTTAGAAAGTTTCTACCAACATTTGTTCTAACATTCTTACTAAAAGGTGGATTAAACCAAATTATATTTCTCGTTCTCGTTCTATTCTTCTGTTTATTATTAGGGGAGTAGCGTAAATTTGTTGGGTAATGACTACGGTGGAGCGCGGCTTGATAAAGAGGTGCAGACTTCGAGAAAGCTTCTTGATTCGATGATAACTGACAAATTCGGTTGCCAACGGAAGATGGTAGATGCTTTGTAATTGAAGGGGGATGGTTTGAATGACTGTCAATGAAAAGTGGTTCATTGTTAGGCTTTCGGTAGGGTTGGTAGCTTTCATCATTTAAATTTAAAGTAATATCTAGGAAGTTGACAGATTGGTGGGTAATTTCTGTGGTGATTTTCAGTTGAAACTCATCGAAAAGTTGGTGGAGATCTTTTCTAGCTTTGTCAGCAAGCCGGGCAGAAGTACCTCGTAGTAGGATTAAACCATCGTCTCGATAAAGGCCGACGCGGTCTTTACCATATTTCTTTGCCAAGGAATTGAGTATAAATAGGCCGATAAGTTCGCACACTTCTGCTCCATCAAAACTGCCCAAAATTACCCACCAATCTGTCAACTTCCTAGATATTACTTTAAATTTAAATGATGAAAGCTACCAACCCTACCGAAAGCCTAACAATGAACCACTTTTCATTGACAGTCATTCAAACCATCCCCCTTCAATTACAAAGCATCTACCATCTTCCGTTGGCAACCGAATTTCTCAGTTATCATCGAATCAAGAAGCTTTCTCGAAGTCTGCACCTCTTTATCAAGCCGCGCTCCACCGTAGTCATTACCCAACAAATTTACGCTACTCCCCTAATAATAAACAGAAGAATAGAACGAGAACGAGAAATATAATTTGGTTTAATCAACCTTTTAGTAAGAATGTTAGAACAAATGTTGGTAGAAACTTTCTAAACCTGATTGACAAACATTTCCCTGCGTCTAACCCACTACACAAGATTTTTAACAGAAACTCGGTCAAAGTAAGCTACAGTTGCATGGATAACTGTAAATGCGTCATCTCCAAACATAACCTCGGTACACTTTTAAAGAATAAAACTGTTGTTGTAGCATCTACCAAAGACAACTGTAACTGCATAGAAAGCACTG